CACAAGACAGCACCCAAGGCTGTGCAATTTGCCCCCTCGCTTTGCACCTTCACCCAGCTTTTGTCTGGGTGCGCCCCTGGCGCTAAAGCGTTCAAAGTTGCTCACTGGTCTACAATTAGAGTGGCAGGACAGCTTGCAAAGCAGACAACCTCGAAGCTGGAACACAGGATAGGGGAAACAATATCAACAAACAAGGAGCCCATTGTGCACCTGCCTACCGGTCACGCAGCATCTTAGCGGCAAGCTCGCCTCAGTAGCCTCCGTTTCGCGAGCTCAGTGCCTGCACTCCAGCCGCTGCGCCCTCACCCTTCACGACTCTCCACTGTCTTCCTCATCAAGTGCCGTGGCCGCGCGGTAGTCCGCATTGTAATTGGGGTGGTCTCTTTCCCAGGCTTCTTCTGCTTCAATCGCCATCTGTTCTTCATACGCCTCATACATGGCGATGTGCATCACTTCTTCCTCTCGTTGCATCTCCTCATACTGTCTTCTGCATCGCTCCTCCTCCCCCTCTGTGTCTGCTTCTGTTTCCTCTGTGTCTCGCTCCCTCGTCGTTTGCCCCTCCTTGTTCTTCACTGCCTCCTCGCTTTGTTGTTTGGGGCGCCGCTCCTCCTGGCTTTCCCCCACCTGCTGCTTTCCTTCGCTGGTTTGTTTCCCATTGTCATGCGCACTCTGCTTCTCCTCTTCCAGCCTTTGCTTCCTGGCCACGCGTGAGTTCCTCGCCTGGCCTTGTTCTCCATCTTGCGGCTCCTCCATGCTTCGCTTGCGCAGGTGGATGCGGAGTTCGAGAAGTGCCGGTGGCGGCGTGTCCTCCGCAACCCCTGCGTACACTGCCGCTACATGCTGGGCGTTTCGCTGCAGCACAGCCTCGCTCAAGGAACTGACCAACAACTCCATGATGGCCCATCGGCCTTGCTCGCCAAAGTCTGGCCAGCCCTCCTGCAGCCCAAGTAGCTGCTGCCTCACGTGCGCCGTGTCGGGGTCGTCGATGTCCTTGCTGCTCGTTGAGTGCGATGGGTCCCGCACCGCTCTGTCCCAGGCTTGCATAAGCGCTTGCTGCCCCACATCTGCTCGCTCATTCTGCGGCGCCTGCCTCATCTCCCGGATCTGGTGCAAAGCCTTCTGTGCTGCTTTGCTCTCTCCTCGGTTCGACAGGCTGCCCAGAATCTGCTCCAGGATGCCCGCATCCGTATCCTCGTTCCAATTCTCCAGCAACGCTTGCATGAGTGGGGAGGCTCCTGGCCCCACCTCGTTTTGCATAGCTCTGGCTATGCGCTGCACGGCTTCCTTGTCTTGCACCAGCTTCCCTCCTCTCAGCCTCAGAAGGGTTGCGGCCATTCTCGGCCTGAATTTCTGCGGCGATGCACTGTACCATCTTCTGATCGCCGGCCTCAGTTCTGGCAAAGTAGTCAGCATCTCCCCGCCTGAGTCCTCCTCGCCTGCGCTGCAGTTGCTGTGCCTGAGGCAGTCTGGTTCTTCCCCCAGCAGGGCCAACAACGTTAGGGCCGGCTCCGCATTGTTCTGCTCTGTCAGTGTGTCACGGACCAGCTGCACCAGGCGGGCTCTCTCCTCGGCATGCAGAGGTGCGGCCTCGTTGGGCTTTCGCTTCTTGTCTTTCTGCTCCTCCGTGTGCTTGGGGTGCTGCATGAATGCATTCTCCTCCGTGTCCTCTCTCTCCCTGGACCTCCTTTGCTCTTCGTCCTCCACTGGGACTTCTTCCTCCTGGTCCTCGAAGGCAATGTCCTCATCTTCCCGTTGGGGGTCCGTAGCTGCAATCTGCCTCCGCTTCCGTATGTCGAGCGCGTCCTGGATGATGTCCCCTATGGCTGCCTGGATGCCATGCAACAGGTGCGGGAGGTTGATGGACATGCGGATGATCCCCTCTGTCGTCATGCCATGGATGATGCGTGTGACTCTTTCCACGTGGCGGGGCGCGAGTTGCATGTCTGGTCTGGAACTCGAGCTTGACGCGCGCTCTAGGCCTTCCCTCACTTGGTCCTCGTCCTGGACGTCTAGTAGCGATGCCCAGATGGCATGGCACTCGTCCCGTCCCGGATTGGCTGGGACGTCCTCTTCACCTTGTTCTTGAAGCTCCTCATCGTCCTCGAGAGCCGCATCCATCGTGTCCAGTTGTCGGGCTGGAGCTGGCTGCTCCACTCGGGGTGGCCTCGTTGGCGGGATTCGAAGGCTCTCCGACACCGTTGGTGCCTCTCTCGCTCTCGCAGGTATATCTTTTTAAAGTCTAACAAATCTAACAACCACGCAAGGGGCGTGGAGAAACATCAGAATCCTTACGAGAAGGACCTACCACAACAACAAGCAGGGAAACCCAAAATTGTCTCAAAATTGCGTAGTCCCAAAACCTAAACCCTACACCCTTAATCACACACCCTGAAAAACCTAATTACACCCGTATACTAACCCCACACCCTAAGCCCTACTAAACCCTACACCCTCAAACCCAAATTCTGAACACCTAACCCCACCCCCTACACACCTCTACACCCGTAACCCTGAACCCTTAGCCTTTACAATCAGCCCTAATCCCTACTGTGGGAGGAAAGCTTTGCACCACCTAGAATACCCCATATCCCAATGATTCTGTATGCTAAGTGGTGCAAGATTTCCTCCACCCACCGTATCCTGAAGAATCCAAGGCCCCAAGCCCTAAACTCTAAACCCTAAACCCCAAGATCCGAGTTTCGGGTTCCGGAGGCACCGCAGGCATAGGCGGAGGTGGCGCGGGAGCTGGGGGCTCCAAACCTGGCAAGCTTCAGGGGATTTGAAGGTTTCCCAAAATTAAAGGTACCATTTTGAGGGTACGTATAATAAGGATGATAATATTTTGGGGGTCTCTATTGAGGTCCCATTATCTTGGGAAGCTACCATTTGAAGGTTTAGGGCTGAAGTGGCTTAAGGTTCAGGTTTTAGCGTTTAGGATTGAAGGTTTAGGGCTTGGAGCTTGAAGTTTAGGGTTTAGGGATTGGAGCTCATGGTTGACCATTTAAACCACTTTCCAGAACTACAGTCCTCTAAACACTATACCCCAAATCCTACACCCCAAACCCCAAACCCCGGATCCAACCTAAATCAGCTGGAGTTAAGATTTTTGCCTACTCCATCAGAAATATGGAAATACGGTACCGAAGGGTCTATGTTGCTTTTTGGAATTCAGGGATGATTCCCGGCTTACGAAATTGCTTCTCCATCAACAGTGTGTCTTGTCCTGGCTGCATGACAATGCCAACCGTCGTCTCGAACATGTTGAGACTTCCGACCCTGACCCAACCCTGATAAAAACACATACAGAGCAACGTTAAACTTGCATTTCTAAACGCCTTAAAGCGGGATTTTTACTAGGATCATACGTGAATTTCGAAAAACTTTACAGAATTTGGCTATTGCAAGGGGATAACGTCTCCGTGTTGGCTAAATGACGTAGCCCAAATGCCGAATTAGGAGCGTTGAGCTCCGAACAAAGCATCCTCTTATCACCTAAGTGGCTCTCAAGGAAGTACTATACAGGGTTTAGGGTTTAGGGTTTAGGGATAGGCATGATGGAAAATAAAATGGAAACCACTATAATGGGTTATATAGGGATTATATCGGGGTAATACAGGTATAATGAAAAAATAGAATGGAAACTGCAATATTGGGGTTATGAAGCTGGCCAGTGTACAGCCATCCTAAACCTGGAAGCTCTAAGCACAAAACCTGAGACCCTGAACCCTTTCAAACGGCCGACAAAGAGAGTGCTTAAGGAGGCAATTGCAGCCATGTACCAATGTGGGGGTTTCCTAAAATTAGGGGTACCCTTTTGGGGGTCCCTATAACAAGGATTATAGTTTTTTGGGGTCTACATTGGGGTCCCCCTGTTTTGAGAAACTACCATGTGACTGCACCGATACCCACCCCAGAATCAAACATCGCCACACAGCTTTCTAGCTTCTCTGAAGCATCACGAAGCCGCACCCTCTAGCATAGTGGCCTTAAGAACTACATGTGTTTTTTGGTTGCCGGCTGCTCCAAATGAATAAGGATGCGACAAAAAATGGAGTCAAAACATGGAGTCAATAATGTTCATGATTATTCAGGCTCTTACCTTCCACATTGCGCCTTGAAGCAGCTCTTCACTGAAGGCTTAGGGCTCTGGTTATGTCCTCAATTATCTGCGGGAGACAGGCAGTGTCTGGAGCTTTTCTGAAGGAAATCCAAGAGGACTCCAAACCTGCGGGTCCCGTAGTAGGAGACCGCATGGGACCTTAGGGAGCCTCAGGGAGGTCTTACGGAGTCCTTGGGTACATTCCTGAAGGTTCTTGAGGGATGGTCCTTCAGGTCTAGGAAAGACAACAGGTCAGGTTGGAGACAAATCCTTTTGTGTCAGGGCTCGATACAAGGATTAAGATTTAGGGTTCAGAGATTAGGGTTTAGGGTCGAGGCTTTGGATCCTCAGCCAAGTCAGTCTTTGGGGAGACCTGGCCACTTCAATGGACAGAACCCTGCAGGACCCTGTGTACCCAACCTTAGCATAGGAATCACAGGGAGTCGTAGTTAGTAGTAATCACAATAAGTCTTAGCATGCAAATACCAGCCAAGGGCATGCCACCGGACAGCCTTTTGATCAAGCAGGTTTGCTGCAAGCTCGTGCCAACAGCTACCATAACTAAAGGAATCATAATCGGGATTTAAGGCTGCGGGGATTTAGGGTGTCTGGTTTAGGGTTTAGAGCACATGGAAAATCTCGCGGGCTCTGCAATCATTGCCTCTAACTCCACTGCACGGCTCTGTAGAATGCACATCTGAAGATGACATTGGTTACCCTCGGCGATCTCAAAAAGATTGCAAGCCACTATGAAACATGCAATTGGGCATTTCTCGTTCTTAGGGGCCGTCATATAACCTGCGATGAAAACTGCTGACGTCATGAGACTGCCCACAAACACCCCACAACGTTGAGAAACTCCCAAGTGTGAGGACCTTGGCCAATGGAGGACTTTGCTCGCTCACTTGGCATCTGAAGAAGCAGACCTCCAATGAAGATCAGCAAGCTGCAAGAACTGAAGGTGCAGAATCTCGCTCGCATAGTAGGTACAGTATGACTGAGGCCCAAACTCAAACCCTAAAAGAAATAGGCCAAGGCCAATTTCTCAAGAATGCCATCGAGCGGCGCGCCAGTGTCTTCCGACTGCTTTTCCATGACTTCGTCATTTGCACTCATCAGGCTTTGGTTCACCGTCCACCATATGCCGGCTAGGATGACAATCATGATTCCGACCTCAGCCCAAGTGCCAACGGCAGCCTTGCAGTAGCTCTGCGCCCCAAAAACACTCCCTAAAACCCCAAATTCAAATCCTCACACCCTAAACCCTTGACCACAAGCCCCCACCCTTAACTGTAAACCCCCGAACCATACAACCCGACAACCCTGTAAACCCCAAGAACGCACCCAGGGCCATGTTGCAAAGGCCATTGGTCGCTGAAAGTCATGGTCATCAAAGAATAGAATGCCTAGGGTTTGGTGTGCTTAGGCATCGAGTTTCAAGGTGCGGGGTTTACGGTTCAGGGTTAAGGGCCGAGGGCTTTGAATTCAGAGTCCTTAGTTCGTTTGGGGTATACGGTTCAGGGTTTAACTTGCGGATCTTAAGCCAGCCGGGGCCTCGTGAAAACTTGGGTCCTACTTTGGGGGGGGGGAGGGTCCAAATATACACGATGCCACTATACAACGGGATCCCAGCTTTGAAATATGCATAACCCACCCCTTCCCTACTGTTGATACTTAAAATCCTGCATGACCTTAGTATACTATAGTACCATATTTTCCAAGGTATAGGGTACTTAGGGTACTGCAGGATTTTTAGTATCCACCGTAGTAGAAGACAAAAGCCGGGAGCTGAGTCTCGGGCCCTGAAACACACTGAAGCCGCTGGAGATATTGGTGATCACCATGGTGGCCGTGGCTGTATCTGCGTTTACTAAGTGCAGCGTGGCCCAGTGCCCAACACTGAAGGTGATGAAAGACAAGAACAGCATCGTTGTGACGGACCCGTTGTTCCACCAAATGTGCAGGGACTTCGACATATCCGCCACCTGGGGGGTTTCTCAAAAGAGGTGACCCTAAGGGACCTGAGAGATTTTTGAGCTATAGTCTGAACTCCTAGTATCCACCTTAATAACCCCCATAATAGCCCTTTAAGGAGTTTAGACTACAGCTCATATGGGGGCTATCAGCACAGTGCAGATTGCAGGGACATTTTGAGGAACTTCCACCTCATTTCGGCTAAGAATGGCCGCTATCACAAAGCAAGCCACAGCATCCACTGCCGTCAACAAGGTGAGAGGGCTATCAATATGCCCAAGTATGCATCTTTGGACAAGCCTATAGATCACCATGGAGATGACATAGTAGGTTGAAACCTCCATTCCCTTGGCGTTGAAGTCTGGATACTGTAGTGCAAAAACGGTTGCACCAAAAACTTTCAGAGCCAGCGCCATCTTGGAGGCGAAGCTGGCGGCTGCTTTCTCCGACCGGTCGTGCCGCTGCATGAAGGAGCCTGGCTGAACTACAGTATGCCATTTTGGGACCGTTTTTCACCCAAGGGACTGCTATCTATAGAACTGCCTACCCAAAACCCTTGTCTATACATATACATATACATATACATATATGTATGTGTATATATATATATATCGCAAAAAATTAGGCCAAAGAAGCTGAGGCTGAGCTCCAAAAACAGTCCACACACCGGAGCCAAGTTTCCGAAGACGGTCCGCTCCTTGCAGGTGATTATTAACGAATATGGGAATATATTAGGAGGACCCCCCACCCTGTAATTGTGGTATAATAAGAATATAAGAGGACCCTAATATAATCCCTATTATCCCTTAAAGTCACTATTACAGGGTGGGCGGTCTACCTAAGGAATATAATACATAAGGACTATAACCCTGAACCCTACACCACAAACCCTAAACCCTATATTATGTTCTCTTATGCCCGACTAACCACCAGCAAGGTTCTGAGAGGGAGCAGAAGTTGGCTTCGAAGTGATCAGCCAACTGGAAAACACCTCAGCTTTCTTTAGTAGCATCCTTACTACAACCCCAATATATGCCCTATTATGTTGTAGTTTCCATGTTCATTGAACTATAGCATGTGAACTCCTTACAATAGAAATTGCTACCAGAATATCTAAACGCTTGGGTTTTAATGCTTCCTAGTCCCCCTAACATTACCAGACTTGTGTATTAGGCTTGTAGGGTTTGTGGCAAAACGATGATGACAGCAGCGGAGACCGCATGTCTCTTGCAACCGAACCAGAACACCGTATGGGAGAATACGAGATGTGGACGACCGCTGACTGTCGCAGTCAGGCTGGTAGAATACACTGGGTTGCTGTTTACGGAGCTTTACTGGGGGTCGAAGGGAATACATGGTTCGAAGGGAATATATACTGCGGAAATATAGGGATAATGAAAAAATGGAAACCACTACTTTATGATAGGGTGTATGTTGGGGTTCTAGCTAGGATTCTAGTGGGTTGGCGTTAAAGAACTTAACTTAAGCTACTAAAGAAAGGAAACTCTGGTATGTACCATGTACCCATGTTATGGTAACTTACCTTACATTCCTTAGCAGCAACCCCGAGTATTCGCGTATGAGACTTGTCCTGAGTCCTGACAGCTACAGTAATGGTTGCATCTCTTCACCCACTTTTTCTGTTTGCCAATAACGGATTGAAGAATGGATCCCTACAGTATCAGTACCGTTTGAATAACCCCCATCAATACGGCAGTTTCCACTCTCTTTTCCATGCCTAAAAGTTCCTACTAACTAAAAGTTTTTTACTAACAAGTAGCCAGAATTCTGACACGTCCCATCATGACAGGCAGCCGAAACGGGACCACGAGTCCAAAAACTCGCAGGAAGACTAAAGCACTAGGATCCCGAGTCAAAAACCTCCGTCGGTTTAGGACCTATAGTCCCCCTTAAGTAGATCGGATATGGCTTTGGGTCTATTGTTATAAGATCCCCATATACTCCATATTTCATCTACTTAAGGGGGACTAAGAGGCTTTAAAAAGGCAGACCTGAAGATCCAAATATCCAAGCCCTATCCTCGGCAAATGCCATACATGCATTTAAGGGTTTAGGGTTTTTTTTTTGTCGGACTTTTTCTCCACCTGCAGATCCAGGCGAGATGCTCTAAGAGCACGGCCCTGTTCACTGAGGAACAAGGTTTAAGGTGTAAGGTTTTTTTCAACCCTTCGGAGCTTTTTTTATGGCCGGCGTCCAAGCGCTAAGAGGCTTTAGCCAACAAGCAGGCATCAGCACCTGAAGCATTGTCCCCTTCTTGCAAAAAGAGGTGGCGACATGTGGCGAACAGGTCAGCACCCTTGAACCCAGCCTGGACCATCTCGACCACGATTGCCATGGCCACCTCCGCAGCACGGCCAAGACGGTTCTTGCCGGGGTAGAGCTGCGGGTAGTCGGAGGCCATGACGCTGGTTGAAAGGCCCGCCGCGTTCTCAATGTCCTTGAAGTTGCATGCGGCGAAGTAGGTGAAAGAAAGCAGAACGCGTGCTACCTCTGGGCTCTTGATGGCCTTCGCAGCAATGATGTAGACCATGCACAGCTCAGAAACTTGTGACCACCCGGTCATGTTCAAGCTGTGCGCCTGGCTTAGGTGTGCATGGGCCCGGTCAGGGGCGGTGATCCTTGCAACCTGCACTGCCAGGGTGGTGTTGCCACCTGCCGCGGCCTTGTTGGCCTGGTATATGGCCTCGCCGTGGCTTTCCTCGACGAACATCATGCCCTCGCTCCCGATGACGGCACCAGCGACGGGGATTGGTAGAAGTTTGAGAGTTCGAAACCGCTGTGTTCATTGTTCCAGAAATTGCAGACCTGAACCTTCTCGACCATGGGCAGTTTGCTGAACACGCGCCTCTCGTTATGTGCTCGTAATCAGCTCGTGCGCGGTAGACTTTCCCGAGGCGGACTGAGAATTCCGAGCACGCAAAGCCCATGTCCCTGTCGCTGATGCCGAGCCATGCCTTCGCGGATGAGCTGAAAGCCCGGCGCTGACCATTGTTTGGGGTCTTCTCAGCGACGAGTGGATCGCGGAAGAAAGCAGCGCACATCTCAAATTCACGGCCTCCCCAAGCAACCAAGGAGCTCTTCACCACGCTGCAGGCCATCCCGAAAACGATTGCGTTGCACACGGCGTCCACCTTGAGGCCCTTTGTCGCTGTCGGACTCGTGTACCACTTCATGTCCTCCCTGATTGCCTCAACGATCGCGCTGAAGTGCTTTCAGTTCTCGCACATCGTGAGCATGCATCGTAGACGACCTGAAGGCCGCTCGTCTTCAGCGCCGTGGCGGAACTTGCTGCGATCTCATTGTCCTCGTGTGTCCCCCTGGGAGTGGGGTCTGCCAGGTCCTTGGCTCCCCCCGCATTTGCCCGGCACATTGTGGTGAAGCCAGGTGACCACATCCGGGACAGCGGCATAAGCAGTTCGGAGGCGACCATGGCGGCGATGATCATTTGCTCCAATTTTGGAGGGCTACGACGCACGGGATGAAAAGCTGACAAGCGCATCCATATGAACGATGGCCGTCAGCGCTGAGCAAACCACAGTGGAGACCGCCTAGAAGGGCGGCCCAGCATTGACGTGGGAGGCCGCGAAGAAGATTCCGGGTGCCGCTGAGATTGCTGCTTCTTTCCTGCTGGGAGAGTCTGGCAAAGACGCCGGCACGCGCAGTGAGGGCGGCTCAGGCGGAGGCAGCGACAGCGTCAAAGGAGACACCGACGCCATTGCTGCCAAGATCAGGGCGAAGATGGACGCGCAGAGGGGAAGGCTGAGGAGCCGGCTCGACAGAAGCCCTGTTACCTGCAGCGTACAGGGGCTGGAAGCTCTGCAGGAGAAGCGACAGTGATCGTCTGCCCTTCTCCCGGCCATGAAGCTGAAGAAGGGAGGGTTGCCAACTAACCTGATGATGAGGCAGGCAGACGTCGACGCTGGCCACCACCAGCTCTTTCGTGAGGGTGCCCAGCGACGAAGCCGCAGCGGTAGTCATCTTTCCGAAAGCTCCCTCGAAGGAAAGGACCACGTTCTTGCTCGTGAAACCGGCCCCTACATGGTTGCATGCCCCCACATACTGCCTCACGCTGAAAGAGAGGTGGATAGACGGGCCCTGGCCCTTCGCTGCTGTCATCGCAGCCTCTGGTACCAGCCTGGCCCTCGGGGTGGCCACCAAGGTCGGTGCTTTCGCCGTGTAGGCTTCAAGAGCCTGAATCCCCTGCCCCAGCGGCAGGGGCACGGTTGATGAGAGGGCAGTTTTTACCGCGTTGTAGACGGAGGAATCCTCTGGATCAGGATGCCGGGCTCAACACGGCTTGCGGGTCGTGCCACGATGTCCTCCACCCCGTGGACCCGAGGAGATCAGAATAACACTTCTCTGCCTCCCCTGCCCCGATGCCAACTTCAGCGAGGGTGCCCCTCTTAGCGGCGTAAATGCTGGCCAAGACAGCCGCGTTCATGGTGGTCCTCATGGAGGACTCAGAGGAGTCAGCTTCAGCCATCATACGACTGAGAGTGCTCGCCAGGCTAGGATTGCCCACGGAGGGGGTTGTGCTCAAAATTGTTTTAGCTCAAGAGGGTTTAGGGTTTAGGGTGTAGGGTTTTGGCTTTAAGGTATAGGGTTTCACGGTTTATGAGTCCGCATACACTCAACGCCCAGCACAATCCCTCCAAGTCAACTACGTGATCCCAAAACCAACTACTGTTGATGGACAAAATCCTGCGTGACCCTAGGGAATCATGGTACTAGCCATTATTCATTGTTGGTTGTAACTTGGGCTTTCCATTAGCCCTGAAAATCCCTACAAGGTCAACGAAATTCACTCGTCTACCTAGTCCTTAGTCAAGAAGCCGAAGGCTATGGCAGCCGGAAGCCACAACATCAGGTCGCGCCGAAGGTTAGCGAGAATCGGCCTCTGCTTTAATGCGTGAGGTTGGATACTGCTTCCATGCGCAATGGTCATGCAAATATATGTGTATTTACATATACGCGGCTTCATACACTTAGATGTCCCCACACCCACACACACACACACAGACATACATACATACATACATACATACATACATACATACATGCATGTGTACATACGTACATACGTACGTACATACATACATACATACATGCATATGTACATACGTACATACGTACGTACGTACGTACGTACATACGTACGTACCTACGTACGTACCTACCTACCTACCTACCTACTACATACATACATACATACATACATACATACATACATACATAAACAGTACGCAGCGGAGGCCTAGTATGATGGATCGAGAAGTGCACCACTGTGGCAGCGATGGCGAAAACAAGCCTTGCAATGGGGAGTGGGCTTCAGAGACCTTACTGGGTGTTTAGGGTGTGTGGTCTGAAGGTGGGGAACTAACGAGGACTCTGCATTTGCGCTTTACTCTGCTTTCTGGACCTCAGCATAAGGTTTTTGTAGACTTCCATGGGTCAGGTGCACTGCTTCTGACGTGAAGTGATGGGGTCTAGCAGGGACGGCAATCCAAGCCCATAAATACACTCCCCAATTTTCCTCCCGAGGAACCGCACACACCCCAAGCAATACCTATGCTGAAATCCTGCCTCAGAAGATAGGCGGTGGTGGGAAGATCTGAACTCATCATTGAAATGCGCTAGGTCGCTAGCATCTGCGGCTTTCCGCATTAAGCTACAGTCAATGATACTTATAAAGATCATGGTCATGCAGTTCTTGATAGATGAAAATAGGAGGTCCTTGGAAGCAAAGGTGCACAGCGCTTTGTTGAGTGAGGCTTACGCCAGATGGTAGGGTTCAGGGTTGAGGGTTTTTTGATTTACGGTTAGGATTTAAGCTTTAAGTTTTAGTTTAAACCCATGCAACTATAGCCTTCGTTGACTTCACAAAGTTTCGAAGGCTAATGAAAAAGGATTTAGCGTTTAGGGATTACGGCCTTAACCGCCTTAACGACATCCTGGCCCACGAGCGGACATCTGCCCAGCAAAAGAACCCAAAAGCTTTTTCAAATGCAAGTGAAGGTTTCCCAGTCAGGAGGAATTAACATTTTGAAGGTCCCTTGAATAAGGATTCTGTTATCTTGGGGTTGAAATTGGGGTCCCCCTACTTGGGCAAACTACCAAGTCGAGATCATCAGTCTTACTTGGAAGGTGAAACGGACTCCGTACGTAGACTTACAACGCCCAGAAGCCCTATACTAAATCAAGTTATCCCGGTTCATAAGCTGCAGCTAGTTCCCAAGCCCATTTGACCCTGTAATCATTACAGTGTAATGTCAACGCCCGTTTCCCGTTGCACACAAAAAATGGTTGAGTTGGTTGTGTGGGATTGCTCACGAGCAAGCGACTTGACCACTAACCAGCATTAGCATTCCCGAGACCCGAAACACTAAACATTCAGGCTCATTGCAGGTTATATGACGCAGCTGGTTTTCTGATATCTGGGATTTCTGCAAATTAAGGGTCCGTTTTCCGGTCTCGAAAAGAAGGATCATAGTATTTGGGGACATATGAGCAGGACCCATGCTTTTGGAAACCCCCATATCTTTCTGAAGACTTGCAAGCCTGGTAGGGAAACCATAAACCTTAAGCCTTAAACTCACGGCTTCAGCCGCCCACCCAAAATGATGGGCGGCGCTTCTGCCCCGCGATATCCATGGTGCAGTTCGACCTAGCTGGTCCGGCCTCATGACACACACGGGGTCGCAGCACCCACAAAGGTTTTTTGCAGGGCCATTTTGGGAGGGGTCTTAGACCCCCCAGCCCTCCTCTGCGAGCGAATTTCGAGATCAGAACAGCTGAGGGCCCAGGCTCTCAGTCCACCTTCAAGAGTGGTGCAAAATAATCCAAAATTCCCTCCCAAACGCAAAACTTTCAAAAGCCATAGATAAGCCCTGCTTCAGAACCATGCTCCTTCAGAAACCCTTCAACAACGACAACACAAACATAAATAGGTTTGAGTTGCTGACCAAGATGGACCTAATCGAGCTTAGGTCCTAAAACCTAAAAGAGTAGGTTTGGGTGGCTTGGCCGCCTCAGACGGGGTGCAGTGGGTGAATGTCTTAGATGGCGTTCTACAGTCGCGCCATTCAGCACCTCGCAAGCCGCGATGCACGTGACGTCACCTTGCAGCTCATCTACCGCATGGTCCACGGAACATCAAAGCCAACTCGTCCAAAAGAACAATAAGCCCGCCTGCACATCTGAGCGATGGGAGCTTAAATCAAGGCTTCTCAAAAGGAACTCTGGGAGCTCTTTACGAGAAGGATTGTACTGTTACTAAGTATAGACGGGATCCCCTGGGTTTCCTGTGAAACTCCTACCTCGTTGACTACAGAGCGATCGCAGTTTTAAGACCTGCTTGAATTGCTTCTTGCTGTCTTGAACTTGCCGTGATGATGAAGTGATGACTTATTCAGGGTTAAGTTTCTACGGTAAACACTAGACTACACACCCCACACACTGAACCGATGTCACAGCCCCGTCGTACAGAGAGCTGAGGAGCATTGAAGCACTCTGCATGGCTGTGATCATCATGGGTGCTTTCATAAGCACACCTGGGGTAAAAGGGCAAGCGTTTAGGGTTTAGGGGTAGGGGCTTAAGGTTCAGAGCTGAGGGTTGACCTTCATTCGGCCTTTTTATGCTGAAGCACCTCTCAGAATCTACAGGTGCATGTGTCTCAAGTGGAGCCTCCCTAACCCCTCGGTTCACCCCAAAGAAACAACATCCCATCCTGAACCAAAAGACGCCCAAGTTTGAGACACCACCAAATCTTGGTAACTCGAATATGCTTGAAATTGCGCTTGACTAGGGGCTACCTTTGTGTTGCGTATTTAAAAAATCCTAAAGATCACCAGGCCCGCATTTTGAAAATGATGCGTTTTAGGCAAAATACAAACCTTTGATGTTCAACAAAAAAATCGTACCAAACCCAAGGAAAGCTTTCAGGTCCCTCAGAAATTTCCATTTCATGTTCCGTTTGATCTTCCAGTTGGCCTAAACCCTAAGCGCTAGATAAATACTGACCCAGACACATAAGGATTGGTTTACCAGAGTCGTGCCCAAGTTGAGAGCCGCAACGCTGATCCTCGGGCAGTGTCGGCAAGAGGGCGTCTTTGGGAGGTCAGGGTTCAGGATGGTTTAGGGTTTAGGGCCTAGGGTTAGGCGCACCTAGAAACTAGGTTACTAGCTGGGCTTGTTCTGTGGCTTACAAGGGCGGTAGGTACACGTACTAGGTCCCCTGACCCTCTAACTTAGGCTTCAGGATCAAAAAGTTTGCATGAAGCACACAAGAACGAGCGCCTTGGCGAATGGCGTACATGCAGCAGCAGCGTCTTTGCTTCCACCCTCCCTGTTGTGAAAGCATCATGGCGCAATCCCTATATTTGAGGATCCTGCTGCCCTAAACACTGAACCCTATACTTGCGGGATCATACTGCCTCAGAGAGAATATGGGGTATATGGGGATCCTACTATAATATACCCAAAGCCANNGGGGACTACAAACCCTAAACCCTGGTTCCCCCCATGTTAGTTTAGGGAGTCGAACCCACTGGCTGAAGCAAGGGTCTGCAGCAGCAGTAGGAAGAGCTGCTGACGCGAAGCACTCTCCGAACCTGGCACTTCATCAGGAAATACTAGGGTTTATATAGGGGTTGTATAGGGGTTATATGGGGTTATATAGGGATTATATAGGGGTTATTTGGGGAGGATGGAAAAGACAATGGAAACTACTATTTAGGGTTTAGGGTTTAGGATACATCGGCACCTGGCTTTGAATCAGGACACAGAGCAAAGACATGGGTTCTTGCGGGTCTACAATACGTATAACCCAGTTATAACTGGCACTTATAACCCGACTTAAGGCGTTTGGAATTGGGACAAGTATACGCATACTTGGGTCCTAACTTGTAATTACCCTGAACCTCCACGTAACCTCCCAAAACTGACTTGGAAACCCTGAAGGGCCCCAAAAAGACTATGGCGGACGGTAAACCGAAACCCTTCACCGCAAACCTAAGCCGGAGGCAACCCCACATCCTCAACTCCGAATCCACTGCACGTCAGGCCTCGGTAGTAGTAGTATATCCAGGCCATGGACAGCGGCACAAAGATGAACAAATAGAGGGTGATAACTTGTCTCCTTACCAGGGTGCAGATTTCCGCTTCAGGACTCCCCTACACAAAGCAAACGAACACGGAATCCCATATCACCCCATTTTAAATAACAGTGGTCTTTACCGAACCTGTTTGTGGGTTCAATTTTCTAGTCTTTGAAGGAGGGTTAAGGGCGCTGGGGGTTTGCAGCGTGAAGCTTTTGGTGAACTAAGCTGCTGAATAGCCCTTACCTTTGTATAGTTTGCAAGTCTTCGAGACTAAGGAAAATGCCATCTTACATCTTTGGTTTCCAGGACTCCTGCTACAAAAACCTTGCAGTTGCGAATACAAATTAGAGGATTGAATACCTAGGCTGTTCTTACTGGTTCTTAGGTAGGGACCAAAGGAAAATAGTCCCTATATAGTCCCCAAATAAATTGATACCTACTGAGAGCCGGTAAGTTTTGAAGCACCCTTAAGATGTAGGGGTTTCAGCTAACGAGCCGAAGCGGAATTCCATCCAAAGGCTACGGTTGGATTCATTCATTCGGGTAGCTTTACTTACTGGTTCTTCGTAGGCAATAACGGAAAACATTCTATAGGGAATTTTTTCTAGGGAATATGTTCCCTCATCCCCTACAAAGAACCAAGAAGCTTATTGCATCAATCCTCAGACTGTCAAAAATGTGAACAATCTCGCAAATTGCACCGGGAATTGCTATGCAACTCATCGTTCCTCCCATCCAAAGCAGGATCCAAAAGCTTTCCACTTCAAGCAATCACATGACCATGAGGTCTATCTCTGAGCAGTCTGTATGTATGCATCTACCCTTGCATATTAGTGCGTGTCAGTGCTGTAAACGGATAATGGTGCCAATCCCTGCATCTACACCTGCATAGGCAGTTACATCATGTTAGACCAGAACCTGTCTTCCTGCACATATGCGGGTTTCCCCAGTTTAGGGGTACCAATCTGCAGGTCCCGTGATAAGGATTCCGGTATTTTGGAGTCTATATTGGGGTACGCCTATTTTTGGGAAACTGCCATATGAGGTCAGGTACCGTCAACAGCTAGAGGGTATGGGACTCCCAATGTACCAGAGAAATCCGTTTCCAGGTTCTCGCAAGAAACCTATTTGCGATCTTAATCCTTGAGTAGGACTCGTATAGGTCCGCGAAATCCTTCTGTGGCGCTGGGCTCCTTCCGGGTACTTCGAACATGGCAACTCCGAACAGGCGGTAAGATCTATGTCTATATCCATGGTCACCTAGTGATACCCCCACCAAAATGTCTGAAACCATGCATAGACTCCCAACAAGATTTTCTTAAAAGACAATATGGGCTATAGTCTAAATTCCTAGTATACCCCTTAATAACCCCTATAGCTCCCCTGTATAACACTCTATAAGGAGTTCAGACTATAGCTCATATCGTGAACTTGCGCATGAATACTTCGAGGTGCGGCTGCGCAATTCGGACGACGACAGCAATATCGGTTGCCTCACACGTGGCCGCAAATATGCCAAGCCATTTGTGTGCTCTACATGTGGTTGCTTCTTGGTCCCTGTTTAGCGGATGCGATTTGAAATTCAGAGTTCTAGTTTGGGGGCATGCTGTGTCATGTCTGAGCGAATAGCCATTCGATGCCCTCGGCGTTGTGACTGCTCAGCACTTGCATTCATTCCGAACGATGATAAGACTCATATCATCCAGCCAATACATCGCTTTCTGACAATAATTGAGGCATTGAAGGATAATAGTAGAAAAATAAAAGCAATACTAATACTAGGAACAATAACAAAATGTAGTAATAGTAGTGTTAGTAATAATAGTAGCAATAGAAATACAACAAAACGCAATGTTGAGGAATTTCAGCCTTAAAGCTGCACGCAGGCGCCCACACGGTAGCTGCTCAAAGTACCGGCCTAACATAATCACCCTTAGTAAGGGGATTTTGGCAACCCCAACCCCCAAAATTAGGACCCCATGACTATCATATGGTGGTTATAGGGTCCTAAGGGATTGGGGTTACCAACACCCCCTTGTTAACCCTAACTCTCATAGCAAAAGGTCTTCTCACATGTTTTGTTTTCTAACTTGTTGCGCGGTGTTAAGAAGCTTCGGAAGTGTTGCCCTTGCCTCCAACCTTAACACTACTGCGGAAATTTCCTAATGTTGTACCTGCGGTCCAGCACTTCACAGCGGTACCTATCTTCCATGCTCTTCTTTGCAAAATGAATCGCCATCCACGCGGAACAAACACAATCAAGCGTGTTCTACCTTCAAAGTATGCAATGGGCAAATGCCGCTTGCAGCTACGGAAATGTTCTCGAATTGAAGGCCGTTTTGCTCTATCTGCCTGGAAGTGCTGGACTTTTTGTCCGAGGAATTGACAAAACACGAGTTAAGAAACTCAAAGCCGTAAACCCTGCAATGATAATACTAACCATTTATTATTAGTATAAGAAAACAAAAATAATCACAACGACATTAATCATAGCAACAATATCTGCCTTGCATCCAAGTCACATTTGTTGAGTTCGCTTGGTAGTGTGCATGGGCAAAAGCCGTATGCTCATCAACCTGCTGCGGCAACACGGTTTACATCCGCCTTAGGTAGATAGGGGCTATGTGAGCCGTAGTCTAAACTTCTAGTCTCCCCCTTAATAACCCCTGTAATATTCCCCTATATAACCTCCTATACAACCCCCTTTCAAGGAGTTCAGACTATAGTACATATAGTAATCATGGAAAAAAAAACAAAAACTACCAATTAGGGTTTTAGCTTAGGGTTGGGGATTTAGCACTTAGAGCTCCGGGTCAAGCATTTCAGCGTATTGAATTTAGGATTTCGGGTTCCTGTTCAGGGGCCTAACATTGAAGGTTTAGGGTGTAGGGTTTAACACTGAGGGTTTGAGGATTTAGTCTGTAGGGTCCCTCGGGACCTCCATTTTGAGATGTACCTCTTCTACTTTGGTAAGTTGACAAAGTTGCGTTCCCTGCTTCGATCCCTGTTGTCATATGGCCCCTGCTGTTTAGGCCACCCAAAAGGTGACGTTTTCATCATACTAGCTTGTAGGGTCTTGGATTTTGGGGTAAGCGTCTACCCGAAATGCAGGTTCCTTGCACGGCCACTTTGCTCTCAAAGACGCATGATCTTAAGGTCAACGTAATGCAGTCGCAAACATATAGCAGGACATAGTACGACAATAATGAAAGCCCCAAACAAAAGTATGTTCCATAGAAAGGCGTAAAATGTGCTCTTGGGTGAAGCCAAGAGTTATAGCTCTTTTCTCTGCGATCTTGCTTCCATACACGGACAGTACTACAAATTCATGGCCATGTGACCCTAAAACCTAAAACCTGAACCCATTCGACTTAGGGAAAGAGAGACAACGGCAGATAAAAGGACCCCAGCTTGGACAGAGTCCCAGATATGACCAGACAAATGGGATTTCCCAAAATAGGGTTTAGGGATCATGGCTTAAGATTTCCCAAGATTCGGTGGAATTACTCTTTTGGTGTGTCTCTGTAACAAGTCTTGTGGTATTTAGGGGTCTATATTGCTCCCCTCCCCCCCACCCTTGCCTATGGAAACTATAATCCCTATGTAGTCCCTAGAACCCCTATAAACCCTAGTAGCTTCCATGCTCTTTTCCATTATCCCCGTATATACCCTATAATCCCTATATAACCCCTATAATCCCTTCGGTTTCCATTCTCTTTTCCATAATCCCTACCCTAAACACTAAACCCTAAACCCTAAACCCCCAAAAAGTCCGAGGGGCCGCTGATCCGTTGGCAATGTCATCTTTTACAGGTTTCGTGGGCTCTTTGGCCTCTGTGCTGTTGCCTTAGCAGACTTGCTGTCACACGGTGCCCGCTGAAAGATCGGGTTTAGGGTTTAGGGTTTAGGGCTTAGGGTCGGGGACCTTGGGGCGAAAGTCGAAGGATGCGCTCCACCACTGAGGGGGAGGATGCCTTTTTCTATGGTGCTGTGCCCTTTGCTAAGATAAGGGTTTCCCAAAATTAGGGGTCCCTTTTTGGGGGTCATCATTATAAGGATACCAGTATAATGGGGTCCATACTAGGGTCCCCCCATTTTGGGAAACTACCGAAACCAGGCCACCAACGCAGCTGAGGAAGCACACCATAAAATCCGCTTGAGGCAGCGAAATTATCATCGACAAAGATATGCTGGCACTCATTTGTAACTAGAGAGGCTGCTATTCCCCATCACTTGCGTCTTCAAAACTTTAGGGCAGCGCATACAACGAGTGTGTCCTGGCACGCCCGTTCGGCATGTCAGAGCGTTCCCACACAGTAGCTCAAAAAGTGTACTCGATACTTTGCTTAAGTATCCCCAAACCCTAAATCCTGAGCCTTCGCACCCAAACCCCAATGGCACAGCGCGCGAGACATGAGTAGCAACCCAGTAAGATAATATTCCTTATATAAAATACTATACCCCAGAAGGAGGCTACAATCTTGCTCTAAAATGGGTACCATAGTATCCCCAAATAAAATACTACTCGCATGTACCCAGAGGTCGGCCCAAGGAGCCTACCTTGCACTGTATACAGGTCCAGATACTCACCGACATCATATGAACTAGAATCTAAACTCCTTACTGTGGGATGTATAGGGGAGTATTGCAGTGGTTACTAAGGGGGTACTACTGTTGATACTAAAATCCTGCATGACCTTAATATACTATAGTACCATAACTCCCAATTTATAAGGTACTTAGGGTCATGCAGGATTTTTAGTATCCACCGTAGGAGTTCAGTATATAGCTCATGTTGAGGTCCAACCCTGATCATATGAGGGCGCATATGTGTTTCCCTGGAAGTCCCCTTGGGGGCGCCCGGAATTTACATGGACATTCCCCTAGCAGCCATTTTGTTATGATAGAAATACCGTTGATCTTGATGATGATTGTCTGCTTCTCATGCAGGGGGTACTGGAGAAGCCGTGAACCCCTTTCAAGTAGTAGAAATTAATGGTAGTTTGACTAAACAGGGGGACCCCCGTACAGACCCGCAAATTACTATAGTCCTGACTATGGGCTCACTACGGGGACCCCCAAAAATGGTAGCCCTCATTTTGGGAAACTCCCATCTGAGTAGTGTTTTCTTGGTGGTTGAACCTAGTAAGATTATATTCCTTATATAAAATACTACACCCGAAAGGAGGATATAATCTTACTCTATAATGGGTACCATAGTATCCCCAAATAAAATACTACTCATATGTAGCTCGCGCAGCGAACGAGCACCGAGTGCAGCCTGGTCACCTTTCACGCTGGTCTCGCCTTGCAGCAGTCTTTCATGATCACCCGGTATAATTGCTATGCTGTGAATATACAAGGTTATATTGGGGTAATCCTGGGCCTGTATATTGGATTAAGATAGGTATAATGGAAAAGAGAATGAAGACTACCACGTTATAAAGTAGCATTGCAGGATGCTATCTCCGTGTAAAAAATAGTCGCCCTTGCGCCAGGCCACGAGCGATGGTGCCTTGCTTGTTCGTCACAGAGTCCTTGATGGTCTCTACCTCATGTCGCATGCCATGGTTGATTTCAAATGGTTGATGAAAGTTCGCTTGTTCCCTAAACCCTAAGCCCTAAACCCTAAGCCCTAAACTGCTACCCGGTGCTTTTCTTCAACTGCCCAGGCCGAGCCACTACTGACAGTACTTCTTTTGTTCAATACCACTGTTTCCATTCACAGGACTACTATCACTATATGGGTGGTTGTCAAAATTATGGTCCCTTTTTGGGTCCCTCTTATAGTGCGGCACCTAATATTTAGGATACCCAAAAAGGGACCATAATTTTGACAACCACCCATATACCCTCACTGAACATGATATAACAAAAAATCACATAGGGATAAGCAAAACTTCTTTCTTTTCACCGTAGTACTTTTTCTGATAATAGTGCTACTGGAGGACAAATACTGCTGCTACCTCGTCTGCCACTACAACAACATGTAGGGCGAATTTAGGCATCTCCACCTTTGCTGATCATTCAAATTCTCGGTTCTACAATGTTGCGAAGATCTGCCAGGCGAAGAGCACACCTACTTCAAACATGTTTGCAAAAGTTGCAAACGAGTCAGATTACACATAGTTAACCTACAGGCACAAAATCCTGAACCCAGAATCTAGCTGATGAGCAACTCCTAAACCTAATCTCTAACATCAAAACCAGTCGCAAATCTACATCCTTCTCCCTCAAGTCACCTGACAATCCCTCTCTCAGGAGTTACACTACTGTCTCCCCCAGGAGTAACCCCCCCAAAATTCAAAACCCTATCAGGCCTCATTAAGACCTATATAGTTCAGATTAGCCGGCGGGTACGTTTCTGGCGATGGGAAAAACCGCTAAACCCTAAATAGTAGTTTCCATTTGATTCTCCATTATCCCTATATGGCCCCTATAAAACCCCCAACATTCTTGTAATTTCCATGTTCTTTCCATTATCCCAATGTAA